AGAGGAGGGACCAGTAGTTGGAAAATTTGGACTTGGTGATAGAAATGATGCTGGAGAACGAATGATAGATTTCTGCAAGACAAATGATTTGTTTTGTTGTTTACCATGTATTAAAAGCCACTAAATCTCTATTCCCCCCGCCCCCCATTGGTAATCTTTACTGTTTTGTTGTTCCTGTAAGGTGCTGTCAAGTCGATACCACCTCATAGCGTCCTTACCGCACAACAGAAGAAACCCTACCCGGTCCTGCACCAACCTCACAATCATTGCTACACTTGAGCCCATTGCTGCTGCCACTGTATTGCTCCATGTTTTTGTTGGTCTTCCTCTTCTTCACGGACCCTCCAATTTACCAACCATTATAGTCTTTGGTTTTACTCTTAGGTTTTTAATTCTTATTTTGTTTTTGTATGTTGGTACAAATCAATTCTCTGTAAATTGACTTTAGAGTTTTGCCAGCACTATTTGTAGCAAAGAGTATCTCCTCAATTCAGTGTGTTTGGGCCCTTTGTAAAGATCAACTGTCTGTCTGTGGATGGATTTATTCCTGGGTTATCAATTCTGTTCTATTGATCTATGATTGTTTTGTTGTACCTGTACAAGGCTGTTCTGACCCAGTGTCTGTAAACCAGAGAGTGAGAAACCTCCAACATTGTTGCTCTTCTTAAGCGGTGCTTTGAATATCTGCAGTCTCTTTCCATATAAAGTTCGTGATCACTTTTTCCATGTCTTTAAAGAATGATGTTGGAATCTGGATCGGGATTGCATTATATCTATACATTACTTTGGGTTGTATTGACTTTTTCAGAATGTTGTCTTCCTATCCATAAGCATGATGTATTCTTCCATTTTTACACATCTTTTTTGGTTTCATATTTTGTACATTTCTTTATATAGGCCTTTTGTTTCTCAAGTTAGGTTTATTCCTAAGTATTTCATCTTTTTGGTGGCTATTGTAAAATGGTTACAAGGCTTGGGGAAAGGGAAAATTTTTCATGTGCTTGAAGGTAGACACATGTTAAGATGTGTGACAAGATGACAAGACAGGTAACATACAACAAAAGTGAGGTTAGCAAAGGAAAGATGAAGCTGAAAGGTAGCAATAGACACAGGGGCAATGACCATACATTAAGTGACTGCACATAAATGCTGTAAACGGCTAGTCCATGGAGGGGTTGGCAGCCAGGTAATGAATGTAAAACTGATGATCTGCTGTGTAAATCTTCACTCAATTCACAATAAAAACTTAAACAAGACAGCATAAGAGACGAGGAAGGACATTATCTCATTGTTAAAGGGTCAAATGCACAAGATGACATAATTATAGTAAGTCTGTGTTCCCGTCGAAAGAGTCTGAAAATGCATGAATGAAACCTCAATAGAATCAAATAAAGAAACCGATAACTCTGAAATAATACTGGATTTTAATATACTAATTAGAAAAATCGGAGAAGCAGAAAGAAACTCAACAAAGACAGAGAGGAGCTAAGCAACAGAATGAATCTACTTGACCTCATCGATTCCTATGTAGCATTCAATCCAACCACAGCCAAGATACAAATTCTTTTCTAGCGCACATGGACCACAAAACAAGTCTCAATAAATTTTAAAACATCAGACCATACTACGAACCATTTTCTCAGATAAAATTGCTACGAAATTCAACAATAAGTAGATCAAGGAAAGAAAAATCAAAAACATGGACACGGAATTACATCCTTCTTAAAAGCTACTTGGTAATAGAACAAATGGAAAAGAAAATAAAAAATTCCTTGAAGCCAAAGAAAATAAAAACACAAAAGCTTTGGGACACAGAAAAAGCAATACTGAGAGGAAAATTTAAAGCATTAAAATCACACACCCAAAAAGGAGGAAGAACCAAAATCAACATGTTAACACACCTCCAACAATTAAGGAAAAACTAGCAAAGTTTACAGTCACCAGAAGAAACAGTAAAGAATAGAGCAAAAACAATAGAAAGATAATCAACATGGGGTTGTTTCTTTTAAAGGATTAATAAAATGGACAAATCATTGGCAAGTCTAATAAAAGAAAAGTGGGAGAGGATGCAAACAGCACACAAAAGAAAGGCAAAGGATGACATCACAACAGAACCAATGCTAATAAAAAGGACAGTAACAAAATACTATCAAGAATTGTACTCCAAAAACTGAACACTTAAGAGGAAATGGAAACATTTTTAGAAAAACATGGCCTACCAAAACTAAGACACTGAAGCAGAAAATTTGAACAAATTTATAACAAAAGAAGAAATTGGTCATTAAAAACTCTCAGCAAAAAAATTGCAGGCCCAGATGGCTTTACTGGTGAATTTTTCCAAATATTCAGAGAAAAGCTGACACCATTTTTCTCTGAAATTATTCCAGAATATAGAAAATGGAAAACTCCCAAATACATTATACACATGAAGTGAGCTTAACCCTCACACCAAAATCAGACAAGGAGTAAAATCAGACAGCAGTAAAATAATTATAGACCAATACAGCTCATGAAAAATTCTCAACAAAATCCTAGCCAATAGAATTAAACAATGAATACAATAAAATTATACATGATTGAGATTCATTCCAATAATGCAAAGATGGTTCAATATTAGAAAAACAATCAACACTATTGACTTTAGATGGATCTGGGTTGAAAGCAGAGAATACCAAAAAGATGTTTACCTGGCCTTATTGACTAGCAAAAGCTTTCAATTGTGTGGATCATGACAAGCTATGGGCAACATAAGTATTCCAGACAATTAATTGTGCTCATGAGAAACCTGCACATTACCAAGAAGCAGTTGTTCAAACAGAACAAAGAGACATTGAATGATTTAAATCAGGAAAGGTGAGCACGAGGGTTGTATTCTTTCACCGTACTTACTCACCACTGCTTTTGGTATAGTTTGGACCTCAATGTAAAGAAAACAAAAATCCTTACCAGTAGAGCAGTAAATGATATGATAAATGGAAAAAAGATGGAAGTTGTCTGAAATTTCATTTTGCTTGGCTTCATTATCAACACTCACAGAGGCAGCAGTCAAGAAATGAGATACATTGCATTAGGCAGATCTGTTATACCTTTTTAAAGATGTTAGTTTGAGGACTAATGAGTGCCTGACCCAAGCCTTGGTATTTCCAATTGGAATTTCCAATTGGACAATGAATAAGACCATAGAAGAATCAGTGCATTTAGTAAGGAAGAGGAAGACCCCCACCCAGCGAGATGGATTGGCATAGCAGCAGCAATAATGAGCTCAAAGGTAGTAACAACTGTGAAGTTGGTCCAGGAACGGGCGGTGTTTTGTTCTGTTGTGCATGGGATTGCTATGAATCAGTATTGACTCGACTCAATGGCACCTAAGAACAACGACTTGGAAATACTTTTTTTCCTGTTACTTCTAAGTTGACTCAGATCCAAAATACTAACCTGTTACACTTCAATAAACCTCAATATTGTGAGTCTGACTGGAGAGTACTTTATGGCCACTTCCACGAATTACCAAATCCAGCAGAGAAACTGTGCCATGAATGAGACAGCTGGTGTCCGACATGGTAAAAAGATCGAAGAGGGAAGCTATGTTTAAGCTCCACTAAATAGGCACCACCTTTTGGTGAATGCTGACTATCTTCCTCAAGAACTCAGTCATGACCTGATGCAACACCATTTTCCACTTGGGTGTGTCTAGGAGTTTTGTCACTCCTAGGAAACCAATACAAACCCATATCTTACCATTATCACTTTATTTTATTTTTGCTTCTGCTAGTGTAGCGGTTACGAATCAGGCTGCGAACCTTAAGGTCAGCGGTTCGAAACTACCAGCTGCTCCACGGGAGAAAGATGAGGCTTTCTACTCCTGTAAAGATTTACACCCTCGGAAACCCTATACAGGGTCGCTATGGGTCAGAACCGACTCTATGGCACATAACAACAACAACAGTATCCACTTGGCCTACTCTGATCATAGCACTGGGCCTTATATTTATGCTTGGCCAGTTCTCCGTGTGTGGTGGACACTGGAAAAAGGAGGGGCTTTAGTTCCTGTGTGATCACTTCCTAGGTTCTTGGAGGCTCCCCTTAGGTACCTGATTTCCTCCATGTGGGTACTCCAGTGCTGGGCTCGTGCTTGGACAGTACAGGCTAGCTGCTACTCTAACCTTAGCACTAGAGGCAGTGTGGACTCATACACTGTGCCTGTGGCCGAATCTAGATGAAATAGTCCATCCACACTCCTCAAGAAATCAGTGACCATCAGGTAAGCTGCCCACCTAAACCGAATCCCCTGAAGGCAGCAGCATATAAATGAGTACTCAATGCTTCCCAAGGCCACCCCTACATCTCCCAGCCACAGCCTCTTCAAAAAATTGATGAGTAAATGATGCAGCATTCTCACTCAATTGACACAAGAAAAGTAAAACCTTATATTCATAAAACCCTGTGCAGAAATGTTTACAACTGTTTTATTATTCCCACAGTAATAAAAAATATAAGAGTAAACAACAAAACATTCTTCCATTGGTAAACACAAAAATTCAGTATGGATTCAGTACAACACGTTAATTAAAAAAAAAAGGAACAAGGCACACATACATTCATCAATACAGATGAATTTCAAATTCATTATACTAAACAAATGAACCAGATTGTAAAAATCTACAAACAGAAAGACTTGTACAAACTGTTGTCAGGAATTCACCCTGAGGGGAAATTTGAATTAAAAATCGTATTTGGTGGGAAGCATTATTCTGTACTTTCCTTGTGATATTCATTCTATGAATTTATATATTTGTCAAAATTGTATAACAAGACTTTTGAAAAGTAGATAATCATCTACATATTTTTAAAATCTATACAAGTAGAGAAATGCTCTTAGAAAAGTTGAAGATTAGGGAGAATCAGAAAACTAAAGACATGGCTCTCAGAATTGGGGATGTTGCTGTTACTATCCTAAACACGGGTACAGGCTGGTCTCTCTGGTTTTGGAGTTGGAACCAATTTGCTCCCTCATCTTTAACATTCACAGCATTCACACACAGTGTAATAACTTACATATTTTCTTAAGATTCCAAAAGAATCATAGATATTTTCATGTTCTTTCTGTATACCTGATCTCATTGAAATGTGACTTCTCATATATTAAGAAGAGGTCTTCAGGGAGGAATTGACCATGAACCCTAGCAATCTAAGAGAGGGTTGTAGGGAAGCAAATGCTCTCTCCCAATACTATTGTCTTGGTTTCGACTTCAGTTGCATTTTCTCTCAGGTTTTCAAAAATATTAAGAATGACCATAAGATTACTACACATATGTACACATATGTGTAAGTACACATATGTAAGAGTGGAGGGACGTGTGTGAAGCTAACCTTGCGATAGTTCGCTCTAACCAAGGATCGCCTTGATAAGAACTACAAGGAAAACCTTGCTTGCCATGGGTGCTGGGCTTGGTACACACTGCCCTAACAGCTTGGGGTCGGGTCCATAGTTAGGGGAAACAGTTACTATGTACTTGCCCTTTATCTACTTATTGTTCACTCTTAGCTTTGCAGTTAAATGTTACTTTGGTAATCATAAACCTTAGATTGATGAGCAGTCTGGATATGCTTCCTGTCTAAGATTGAACTTAAAGCTGTATTGTAGAAGAATAAAGTCGCTCTCGAAGGACCATCTTCAGTCCCCTGATACTTCTCAATTCTCCATCTGCTCCCAGAAACCCTTTGGTGCAGGGCTCGTTCCTGCACACATGTATTCTTTCTTTCTAATGAAATCTTCTCATGTATCTCTAAGACTGCGGGGAAAATGAAGAATTTCCTTCACTCCTTATAATTAAATCTCAATCCACTATAAATTCTTATATGTTCAGCTACTTTTGAGAGTCGTTACAGGTTTTCCAACATTGCTTAGATTCATAAGGCCTCTCTCCACTGTGGCATTTTACACAAAATTAAACTAAAGGCCTCCCCACATTCCTTACATTAATAAGGCCTTCCTCCACTAGGAGATTTTTATATATGCTGTGAGGTGTGAGGACTGACTAAAGGCTTTCTGTGTTCCTAACATTTATAAGGCTTCTTACCACTGTGCGTTTTTTCATGCCTACTGAGATGTGAAGACCGGGTAAAGGCTTTCCCACAGTCCTTACATTCATAAGGCCTCCTTCCACTATGAGATATTATATGTGCAGTGAGGTGTGATGAATGAATAAAGGCTTTCCCACATTCCTTACATTCATACGGCCTTTCTCCAAGATGAGATCTTACATGTGCACTGAGAATGGAGGAATATCTAAAGGTTTTCCCACATTTCTCACATTCATACGGCTTCTCTCCACTGTGAGATCGTGTATGTACAATAAGGGTTGTGGACTGATGAAAGGCTTTTCCACAGTCGTTACATTTATAAGGCTTCTCTCCACTGTGTGTTTTTTTATGATCACTGAGGTGTGAGGATTGAATGAAGGTTTTCCCACACTCCTTACACTCATAAGGCCTGTCTCCATTGTGATATCTTTGATGTACTTTGAGGCTTCCAGATTGAGTAAAGGCTTTTCCACATTCCTTACATTCATAAGGCTTCTCTCCAAAGTGAGATCTGATATGTGCATTGAGGGACGAGGAGTGACTAAAGGTTTTCCCGCAGTCCTTACATTCATAAGGCTTCTCTCCACGGTGAGATCTCATATGTGCACCGAGGTCTGAGGATTGAATAAAGGCTTTCCCACATTGCTGACATTCATAAGGCCTCTCTCCACTGTGAGATCGTTTATGTATAACGAGGGTTGAGGAGTGGCGATATGCTTTTCCACACTCATCACATTCATAAGGCTTCTCTCCACTATGTATTTTTTTATGTACATTGAGGCCTGAGGAGTATTTGAAGGCTTTTCCACATTCCTTACACTCATAAGGTCTGTCCCCACTGTGTGTTCTTTTATGTTGAGTGAGCTGTGTTTGAAGATGAAAGGCTTTCCCACATTCCTTACAACAATATGGCTTTACTCCACTGTGAGATCTTGTATGTTCACTGAGCTTTGAGGAACATCTAAAGGCTTTCCCACATTCTTTACATTCATAAGGTTTCTCTCCAGTGTGAGATCGGATATGTTTAGTAAGGCTATAGGACCGAGTAAAGGTTTTCCCACATTCCTTACATTCATGAAGCTTCTCTCCACTGTGATATCTTTTATGTTCAGTAAGACTGTAGAACCGAGTAAAGGCTTTCCCACATTCCTTACATTCATGAAGCTTCTCTCCACTGTGATATCTTTTATGTTCAGTAAGACTGTAGAACCGAGTAAAGGCTTTCCCACATTCCTTACATTCATGTGGTTTTCCTGCTCTGTGAGTTCTTATATGTCTAGTGAGGGCTGTGGCATGACAAAAGCCTTTCCCACACTCCTTACAATCATAAGGCCTCTCTCCATTATGAGTACTTACATGGCGATTTAATGCTGAGCATCGACTAAAGGTTTTCCCATATTGTTTACATTCATAAGGTCTTTCACCATGTTTAGTAAGGGGTGTGGGACAATCACTGGGTTTTCCACAATCCTTACGTTTACAGAGTTTCCCCCCATAAACTCCTTTTGAATGATGTTTTATGTCAGAGGGAGAACTGCAGGTTTCTCTTTGTTCTTTACAATGGTACGGTGTGTGTTCAGTGTGAGAGGTAATGAGAGGGTTATGATTATCACTCTCATGAAATTCAACAGGATGTACTCCAACTTGAGTTCCTTTGAGCCTAGTATGATTTGTATTCCTGCAGATAATTTTTTCAGACTGATCACCTTCTTCAAATTTCTTTACTTTATCTGCTTTACTTGCAAGGAGTCTCTCTATTGTACACATTCTGCTGAAAACAGAGAGTATGTTGTTACAATGATGCTTTGCACCAATTCAAAATGACCATCACACTGAATGTACACATTCTGCCCTGAATTGTGGCACTGCTGCATAGTTTCATCATCTCACAGAAGGTGCTAGCATTATTATTACTGTATTCCAAAGAAGCTTTGTGAGACTGCTTACAAGTGAAGATGTCTGAAATACTGAATATCTGACTCACTTTTATGGAAAAATCTGTTATGAAAATTATGTGAACACACACATGTAAAGATAGTCTTACAAACACAGGCACACAAATTAGAAGACATTTTATAAAGTGTCTCCTTAGGACTCTTTTTATGTCATGGATAAGATACCTCATATGGCCTTCCTGGTGGCTGTGGTGATTTTCACTGTCAGGGAACTCACAGATTGTTCTCAGCATGGATGACCAAGGGTCCTTCTTCATCACTTGTACCAGTGTAAGGTCACTGGGAAACGTTTGGTCATTATTACTCTGTTTAAAGACTGGAACAGTAATTTGAAATGGAGTTACATAATTTAAATCAAACAGGAGGGAAAGCTGATGAGGAACAAGGTACCTGTGAAGAGAGGAAAAGACTTGAGGATGTGGCTATTCTATGAGTTTGATAGATGCCAAAGCATTAAGGAACATACTGAGAAAAAATTCTATAAAGTTTGAGAGTGATGGTGTCTTAGATGCAACCAGAAATGCCAAAGGTATTGACAAACAGTGCTCATGTGTAAAGGTGTAAAAAAGAGGTAATGGGGAAGGATTTCCCCCCACAAACACAGAAGGCACTATAGAACTGAAATTCAAAAAAAGTAATAACTTAATATTCTTAATTTCAGTATCATGTTGAAATAAGTTTGAAAGGTCAAGTTAAATAAAATTTATTATTATTATCAAAAAAAAAAAAAAAAAGAAGAAGAAATAGCTTATCAGGGAGCGCTGAAGCACTACATAAAGAAGGGAGGCAACACGGCCCAGTGTTTGAAGAACGGGGACTCCAAAGACAAACTTGGATTCAATTCCTGGACACATCATTTATGACCTGAACAACACTGAATAAATGATTCAACTTCTCCAGATTAAAACAAAAAAAATCAGCTCAGATATGTTCGTAAATTCAGTTACTCAAAGTAAAGGAGACCATTTTCTATTCATTTTTTTCACATGTAATTCTATCCTAACAGGGCTGGGTCTTAAAAGGACTTTTGCCTTTGTTTTTCAACAACAATAAAGCTCCAGTAAATTCCTATCTCCACTCTCCTTAGATCTTTCCATTGCTTCAAAAGGATAAAAATTAAGGTGGCTGATATGGTGCTTACCAAGAAAGGCAGATGATGAAAACAGAGAGCTCAGACAATTTCATTGATATTGAGTCAATTCTTTCATCTCCACAATTTCAAGAGATGGTGCGGTACAGTGAATGACTTACTATAGCCCTTCTAGATACAGTCCTTAGCACTGTGATATATTATAAACCAAAGTATCTCTGCCTGTGCTTATAGTCCCATTATAACGTTAGTGGTCCGTTATGTAAATAAGACAGACAACCATTTTAAGAAGTAGCATACCGTCGATCAAGAGACAACAGTACAGAAGGAAGAAGTCCAAGGTTCACTGAAGGCATTGGCAAAGAACGAGGCTCCGGCAACTGATGGAATTCAAACTGAAATCTTTCAGCAAACTGAAATCACTCATCTACGCCAAGATTCTTGGAAGACAGTTACCTGACCAACTAACTGGAAGATGTCCGTATTTGTGTCCTATCCAAACAGAGGGTTGGAATGCAGAAATCATCAGGCAATACAATTAATAAATATCACATGCAAATAAAATATAGCTAAAAATAATTCAAAAAAGACTGCAACAGTACACTGACAGGAAACTGCCAGTGGTTCACATGAGATGCAGACAAGGACTTGGAAGGAAGGCTATCACTGCTGATGCCTGATGAATTCTGAATGCAAGCAGAGAATACCAGAAAGATGTTTGCCTGCTATTTACTGACTCTACAAAGGCTTTTGACTGTGTGGATCATGACAGGCTAAGAACAATGTTGTGGAGAATGAATGTTCTGGAACACTTAGTTGTGCTCATGAGGAACATGTATACAGACCAAGAGGCAGTTGTTTGAACACAACAAAGGGGCACTGAATGATTTAAACGCAGGAAAGGTTTGTACCAGGGCTGTATTCTTTCACCATGCTTATTCAATCTGTATGCTGAGCATCCCATCTTAGAAGCTGGATTATATGAAAAATAAAGTGGCAACAGGATTTTAGGAAGTTCACTAACCATGTGTGATATGCAGATGACAAATTGAGAAGATTGATGTCAATGACTTTATTTTGCTTAGATCTAACAACAACACTCATGCAAACAGGAGTCATGAAATCAAAAGAAGTACTGCATCAGGCAAAACTCATTCAGGAGACCTATTTATAGTTCTCAAGAGCAAAGATGTCAGTTTCAGGACTAAAGTGTGCCTGACCCAAGCCATGGTATCTTCAATAGCTTCATATGCATGTAAAAGTTGGACAGTGAATATGGTAGATCATAGATGAATAGACACATTTAAGTTCTGTTGGTGGATAACAATTTGAAAAGTACCATGGACGGCCAGAAGAACAAACAAATCTGTGTTGGAAGAAGTACAACCAGAATGCTCCTTAGAAGCCAAGATGACCAGACTTTGATCTCTCAAACGTCAGATATATTATTAGGAGAGATCTGTCCTTGCAGAAGGATATCATGCTTCGTAAAATGGAGGGTCAGCGAACAAGAGGGAAACCCCCAACACGATGGGCTGGCATGGCAACACCAGCAGTGGGTTCAAGTACAGCAGCAACTGTGAGGCTGGTGCAGAATCAGGCAGTGTTTTGTTCCGTTTTACACCGGAACTCTGGGTAGGAACCAACTCAAAAGCACTTAACAACAGATCCAGAGTTGTTGCCTTTTTATCCTTTGTGACTCCAATTATCAACCATAGTTCACTTGGTATATGATCTGGGTCCAACATATAGCAATGCTTTTGCAAATTCCAATACACAAGAACTATTCCTCTGGATTCTGCATCTGACTCATCTCTGGTTCCTGGCACTTAAGACAGCATCCTACCATCTAACTTGATTTGCTAGCTTCCAAATTTGGGGTGTCAACAGCCTGTTGTGTGACCTGGCCTGAGTGAGGAGAATCCTCCACACTGACACCTGGCACATGGATTTTGGATTTGACAGCTGCCAAAATCACAAGAGTAATTTCTGGAGAATTTGTAAATTCTATGAGAAGTTGTGGAAGCGAATCGGGCTGCTAATCTCATGGTCAGCAGTTCAAAACTACCAGCGGTTCCACAGGAGAAAGATGAGGTTTCTGCTCCTGTAAAGATGTATAGCCTCGGAAACTCTGTACAGGGTCGCTATGAGTCGGAACTCACTCCATGGTACATCACAACAACAACAACAATGAGAAGTAGCAAATTAAGAAATCCTAATATGTGAGGGAGACGTACAGGAGAATACTGAGGGGAGGAGGAGAAGATGATACAGGAGATGATGCAGGAGATGACGCAGGAGATGACGCAGGAGATGACGCAGGAGATGACGCAGGAGATGATGGAGTAGTACAGCACTACTGGAAGTTTGGCCATTTGGGACTTTTTAAACCTCCACTTCATAGAGACCAACTTTATTTTCAGCCTTATGCAGATAGACAGGTGTCACTTTCTTTGCATAAAATTAATTCTGTCCAATTGGTAATGTGCACAATAATGCTCTAATCAGTTCCTAAACCATAAATCTTACTTTGCCACAAAACTGATCCTCACAACCAATATTCATACTTACAACGTTAAAAACCTCAAAGCTATGACCATAATAAGGGAAATAAAGAGACAGTTTAACAAAAAACGACATTTAGTTTCATCAGGAAGCAACTAGTCAGAGCTCCATGACACGAGTGAAAACATCTGTCCCAAGTCCCAACTGTCTCCCTGTTCCTCAACGCAAGTTCTGTAAGTTAAAGAGAACAATACGTTTAAAGATAAAACTATAAAAATGAAAGCCTCCTTACCTGAGTCCATGTAATTTAAGGTTTCCAACATCACATCTCTATAAAGTTTTCTCTGAGAAAAATCCAGCAAAGCCCACTCCTCCTCGGTAAATTCCACGGCCACATCTGCAAATTCTATCAAGTCCTAAAACATCACAAATACTCTGCATAAGCAAGGAACCATAATCCCTAATGTGTCACAAAACCATGATTCATTACAATCCAGGGAAACTGAGAACTTATACAAAGAAAACACTACAGGGCTGGACATGACACTTGTCTTTTCCCATGTACACCTAGCTACACACTGGAAGTATCTTATCCCACAGATTTTTAACACTATTTACCACACAATGAGCTTATTTCTCTAATTTGACTATGATCAATTGCACTCATTGCTCTCTGCAGGGGTAAAATAAGTATTGCTACTAGGGTTCCAGTTCATACTGGAGAGGTTTATTCCAGAGAAAGCATGTTTAAACATGTCTCTGTGATCCGTGCAGACTGTCAGACAAGTTCTCTCAGGAATACACTGGTCTCACTGTTAAAGACGGAAAGCATGTATTTTGGGACATGAAAAGACCAGTCACTCAAATTATAAAACCACGAGGTAAAATGAATAAATATACGTGAGCAGATAGAGAATCATCAAGATTAGCTTTGGTTGCTTAATTGCTGCTGAGTATTAAGATGCATAATGACCCCATATAGGGTATATAGAACTAGTACTGAACATGGTTGTTGCCTAAGATTGTGCTTTTCTGGAAGCAGGCTGCCAGCTGTGTGTCCCGAAATGCTTTAGGGAGTCTGAACTACAAACCTTGGAGCTACTACCACTTACCATCCTATCAAATACACATATGGAGAGGGTCTGCAAAAGTTGGATGTAAAACAATTGGAATTCATCAGTCTGAGAAGCAGTATCCACTATTCCTCGGTCAGTTCCTCGTCCTGTGGTGGTTCACATGTTGCTGTAATGAGGGCAGGTATGCTACCTGTATGTTTAAAACCCAGGGAGTCCTGGTGTGGAACTGTAGGGTAAGCACTGGACTGCTAAACGCAAGGTCAGCAGTTCAAACCCACCATCTGCTCCTCTGAAACCCTATAAAGGGTTGTGATGATTCAGAACTGATTCGATGACACTTAAAACCAACAGGGTCACCTGTGTGTACAGGTTTCAAAAGTTTCTAGACTAAGAGACTAGGATGCAGAGGTGGACCACTTCTGCATGTTTAGCCACTGAGAACCTTCTGAATACCAGCAGAGCACGGTAGAATGTAGTGCTGCACAATGAGCCCTTAAGGTAGCAAGGGCCATAAAAGATGACTGGGGACGAGCTGCCTCCTCAAAGGAGAGGTGACAGTAATAACAGGAATGGAATTAAGCTTTTGGGACCGTCAAATGATGATGGCGCACAACTCAAATTGAGGAGAAATAGCTTCAAACATCCATAATAATTAGAATATGGAATGTATGAAGTATGAATCTAGGAAAATTGGAAGTTGTCAAAATGAAATGAACACATACACATCAATACTACAGACATTAGTGAGCTGAAGTGGACTGGCATTGGCCACTCTGAATCAGAAAATCATCAAGTTTACTATGCCAGGAATGCTAAATTGAAGGGCAATGGAGTCACATTCATGACCTCTCTGATAGCGTGATACCCACATGCTTACAAAAACCCAAGAGAAAGATCAGGTTTTCTGCTCCTGAAATGATTTACATCCCTGGAAACTTTATACAAAGTCGCTATGAAGGAAGCCCAGTTATTACCATTATTATGCAAATTTAGGTACCAACAGCTATGTTGTTGTTGTCAGGTGCCATCGAGTCGGAACCGACTCATAGCGACCCCATGCACAGCAGAAGGAAACAATGTCCAATCCTGGGCCAACCTCACTACCACTGCCACACTTGAGTCCATCAATGATGCCACCTGGCTGATCCATCTCGTTGGGGGTCTTCCTC